AATACAATAAAAAGGCAATAGAAAGAAAGCAGAAAGAGAACAGAAAGAAAGCAGAAAGAAGTAGGAAGAAAGTAGGAAGAAAGTAGGAAGAAAGTAGGAAGAAAGTAGGAAGAAAGTAAAAAAAAGAAAGTAACTAAGTAACTAGGTAAGCTACGAATTTTGCCCGGGCCAACTTGGTTGGGTGCCCAAGTGGCTCAACCAACTTGGGCACGCAACCAAGTTGGGCACCGGGCGGGAATCGAACCCAGGGCCTCGCAGGCGCAGAGTGTCAACTGCACCACCAGCAACCGGTTGTCCACTCTGCCACGAACTCCTCTCACCCAAACAGCGGACTCTGCGGCGACACAGTGTGGATACCAACGGTATTTAAAGGTATGCATTTGTCCTCGCAATCAACATTGCTTCTATAATTTGAAGGTTGTCCGCGGCTTGCATGTTACAGTGAATTGAACAAGTAAAAAACTCGCTTCTGCGTGTGAGCGATCATCGCTCACCGCACCATTGTGCACTTCGGTTAAACATTACTTTTTTAAAAGTAGGTACCTTCACCTCCACACGCGCACAGTACAGTACATGGCTGTGATTGCCACACGCGCACAGTACAGTACATGGCTGTGATTGCCATGTACTGTACCAAGGGTACTGTGTCAGGTGTTCGAGATCCGGACGTGCACTTACGACATATTTTTGCCGACATTTTGGCCCTCTCCCATGAATTCCCATTCTCTGTAATCTCCCACCATCCCTACTGTCCCTGGCATCTCCAATCTTTCCACGCTCTCCGCGCTCTCCGCGCTCTCGCTCTCCGCGCTCTCCGCGCTCTCGCTCTCCGCGCTCTCCGCGCTCTCGCTCTCCGCGCTCTCCGCGCTCTCCGCGCTCTCCGCCGCTGCTGGGAGAGGAGCCTCGGTGCGCCGGTGCGTGTCTGCATTTTTTAAGTGTGAAAGGTGTTTCGGCCGGGAGTCTGGAGGTGGAGGTATGTTTATCGATTCTACATTCCGGGTGTGTTGCGCTCCCGATCCGGTTTCCAGCACGAGTTGGGCGGGTTGGGCGGGATGTGGGCGGTGCGGAACGTTAACTGGAGAAATTGGGGGTTAGGTTGTAGGGTATTGGAATCAATTTAATTGTGAGCGGTGACCATGATGTGGGGCTTGTGAGAAAGGTCATATGCGAAGCATGTTCTTCCGACGGAGTGAATTGAGGGACAAACTGGGGATGCTGGGCGCTGGAAATCATTGCATACTCGTCGACTGAGGAGATGGGAGGGAATGGGGACTGTATTGAAGCACTCGAGGATGTTTGCTCGCCACTTGCGGTTGGAAGGGGAAGGGGCGCGTGGACATTGGGGACATTGGGGGGTGTTCAATGAAATCGATGACAGCGTCACAGAGAGGTGGGAATGGGAGATCGGAAGGGGACTCTGCTGCGGCAACGGAGGTCGTATTAGGGAGAGAGCATGCGGAAGAGGGAGAACAGAGGGCCGCAGACGACGATGGTGTGAGAGATCGGAAGAGGAAGTCGGAAGGGGACTGTGCTGCGGCGACAGAGGGTGTATTAGGTAGAGAGCGGGGGTATTCAACGAAAGCGATGGCAGCGTAACTGAGAGGTGGGAAGGGGACTGTGCTGCGGCGACGGAGGGCGTATTAGGGAGAGAGCATGCGGAAGAGGGAGAACAGAGGGCCGTAGACGACGATGGTGTGAGTGCCGGACAATTGGCATGAGACGACGGCAGTAGGTAGGGGGTCAAGGAGGCAAAAGGGGTTGGTGGAGAACGGGCGCGGCACAAGGGGACGGCGCCGTCGAGAGCCAAAACGGGGGCGGGGTTAATGCGAGGTACGGGAGGCGTGTGACTGGCAAGAAACAAGTATCAAAACCGCAGATACCATTCGCCCGTCCGTACCACCCCAAAGGTTAAGTATGCCGCGCCGACAGCCGCCACTCTTCACGCAATCAGCACAACAGCCAGTTGTTATCGTGTGTCATTCTCGGTAACCTTTTGCTTCCGCCTCTGTGTTTCGCAATTTTCCGCGCTTGCAGACTCTACCCTTCTTCCTTTGCTGGCAAACCTTTTCGTGCGAACGAAACGTTTGAAACGTTTAACACCTCTATTCTTACCAATAAAGACTCTTACTACACTGTACCGTACATGTGAAATCTAAACCCAGTTCTTTAATATAACATTCACCTGCGTGTATAAAGAAGAAGACAAAGAAGAAACACCAAACCGCATTTTCAGATCGCTCTTTCTTCTGCCTATATGTCTGCGTGTAAACCGTACCTCTGGCGTGCTTGACCCGGAAGGCCAAGATGGACGTCCTGGAACGTGAGCAAAACGTCTGGGTGCCAGTCCGTTGCCTGCACGGCAAAAAAAGAAGAAACAGTGCCAGTGCGTCGTGTAAATAGGAAAGAAAGACAAACAGAAAGAACGAAAAGCGCCGAAAAAACAAGCGGTGACTCGCGTTAGCAACAGCATCTCTCTCAAGCGCTGTTGCGGTAAGTCTCGCAGGCAAGGAGGCCGCCCATTTCACATATGTTCTTTGGTGCGGTCGCCGGGACACCAGTGCGAGACTTACCTTTCAAAAGAGAGGACTCGTATTCGTGAACCACGGCCCAAACAGAATGGAAGCCGAGGTTGAAGCGGTTGTGTCGGAGGTGTCTGTGCGGTCAGTGCGGTCGGTGCGGTGGGTTAAGGTGGATGTCGGGAAGGGAAAGGGAGGCGCACAGTCCGGTGCATCACGTGTGTTTGTTCTGTTGATGTACAGAGGTGCATTTGTCTGAGGGTGGAAGTGAGAGTCGACATTTATCGTAGGAGAGACAGACAGTGAGTGGATGATCTGACGTGCGCATGAGCGCATGAGCGCATGAGCGCATGAGCGCATGAGCGCATGAGCGCATGAGCGCAGGCGAGATCGTGATTCAAGCATGATTTCTGCCTGGAAGGACCCTCGGTGCGTGTCTGCATTTGTCAGTAAGTGTGAAACGTGTTTTCAGCCGGACGTCTGGAGGCATGTTCATCGATTCCAGATTCCGGGTGTCTTCCGCTCCCGATCCCGGTTTCTAGGGTCCGAAACCCCTCGACAAATGACGTCACTGCGCGCCATACGGGACAGATCCAACCAATTAAATGCATACGATCGATTTGCATTCCGCCTCCCCTGATTCCACGCATTTCGCTGGTCCCGCTGCTTCCTGTCGCGGACTTCGGAACGCCACATTTTGGGCTGTGTACTACGGGGGAGGGTAAAAACGTGAGGATGTGGGGACGTGGAGACGTGGGAACGTGGGGACGTGGGAACGTGGGGACGTGGGAACGTGGGGACGTGGGAACGTGGGGACGTCATCGCTAACGCCTCGGGCTGCTGTGCGTGCCGGGAAGCCGAGATGGCAGGCAGTAGGGAGCGTAGCGGGTGAGGGAGGTCTCGTGAGCAAGAGGCAGTGTGCAGGATGATGGGGGGGGGGGGGAGGCAGCGGGAAGACGTTGGAAGGGCGAAAGGCTTAGTTTTAGAGTATTTGGATTGCGTAATGTGTAAAAGGAATATGTTTAGCGAGAGGAGAGAGAAAAGTGTTTGTCGCTAAGACCCGTGCGCGTTTGAACTCGATCGAAACGGAGACGAACAAGTAGATGAACATAGACAAGACGAGGTTGGTGAGGAGAGGAGGAACAATACAAATACAATACAAATACAATAAAAAGGCAATAGAAAGAAAGCAGAAAGAGAATAGAAAGAGAACAGAAAGAAAGCAGAAAGAAGTAGGAAGAAAGTAGGAAGAAAGTAGGAAGAAAGTAGGAAGAAAGTAGGAAGAAAGTAAAAAAAAGAAAGTAACTAAGTAACTAGGTAAGCTACGAATTTTGCCCGGGCCAACTTGGTCACGCAACCAAGTTGGGCACCGGGCGGGAATCGAACCCAGGGCCTCGCAGGCGCAGAGTGTCAACTGCACCACCAGCAACCGGTTGTCCACTCTGCCACGAACTCCTCTCACCCAAACAGCGGACTCTGCGGCGACACAGTGTGGATACCAACGGTATTTAAAGGTATGCATTTGTCCTCGCAATCAACATTGCTTCTATAATTTGAAGGTTGTCCGCGGCTTGCATGTTACAGTGAATTGAACAAGTAAAAAACTCGCTTCTGCGTGTGAGCGATCATCGCTCACCGCACCATTGTGCACTTCGGTTAAACATTACTTTTTTAAAAGTAGGTACCTTCACCTCCACACGCGCACAGTACAGTACATGGCTGTGATTGCCATGTACTGTACCAAGGGTACTGTGTCAGGTGTTCGAGATCCGGATGTGAAACGTGTCCACGTCGAGAACACGCCCCCTGGGTACGTGCACTTACGACATATTTTTGCCGACATTTTGGCCCTCTCCCATGAATTCCCATTCTCTGTAATCTCCCACCATCCCTACTGTCCCTGGCATCTCCAATCTTTCCACGCTCTCCGCGCTCTCCGCGCTCTCGCTCTCCGCGCTCTCCGCGCTCTCGCTCTCCGCGCTCTCCGCGCTCTCGCTCTCCGCGCTCTCCGCGCTCTCCGCGCTCTCCGCCGCTGCTGGGAGAGGAGCCTCGGTGCGCCGGTGCGTGTCTGCATTTTTTAAGTGTGAAAGGTGTTTCGGCCGGGAGTCTGGAGGTGGAGGTATGTTTATCGATTCTACATTCCGGGTGTGTTGCGCTCCCGATCCGGTTTCCAGCACGAGTTGGGCGGGTTGGGCGGGATGTGGGCGGTGCGGAACGTTAACTGGAGAAATTGGGGGTTAGGTTGTAGGGTATTGGAATCAATTTAATTGTGAGCGGTGACCATGATGTGGGGCTTGTGAGAAAGGTCATATGCGAAGCATGTTCTTCCGACGGAGTGAATTGAGGGACAAACTGGGGATGCTGGGCGCTGGAAATCATTGCATACTCGTCGACTGAGGAGATGGGAGGGAATGGGGACTGTATTGAAGCACTCGAGGATGTTTGCTCGCCACTTGCGGTTGGAAGGGGAAGGGGCGCGTGGACATTGGGGACATTGGGGGGTGTTCAATGAAATCGATGACAGCGTCACAGAGAGGTGGGAATGGGAGATCGGAAGGGGACTCTGCTGCGGCAACGGAGGTCGTATTAGGGAGAGAGCATGCGGAAGAGGGAGAACAGAGGGCCGCAGACGACGATGGTGTGAGAGATCGGAAGAGGAAGTCGGAAGGGGACTGTGCTGCGGCGACAGAGGGTGTATTAGGTAGAGAGCGGGGGTATTCAACGAAAGCGATGGCAGCGTAACTGAGAGGTGGGAAGGGGACTGTGCTGCGGCGACGGAGGGCGTATTAGGGAGAGAGCATGCGGAAGAGGGAGAACAGAGGGCCGTAGACGACGATGGTGTGAGTGCCGGACAATTGGCATGAGACGACGGCAGTAGGTAGGGGGTCAAGGAGGCAAAAGGGGTTGGTGGAGAACGGGCGCGGCACAAGGGGACGGCGCCGTCGAGAGCCAAAACGGGGGCGGGGTTAATGCGAGGTACGGGAGGCGTGTGACTGGCAAGAAACAAGTATCAAAACCGCAGATACCATTCGCCCGTCCGTACCACCCCAAAGGTTAAGTATGCCGCGCCGACAGCCGCCACTCTTCACGCAATCAGCACAACAGCCAGTTGTTATCGTGTGTCATTCTCGGTAACCTTTTGCTTCCGCCTCTGTGTTTCGCAATTTTCCGCGCTTGCAGACTCTACCCTTCTTCCTTTGCTGGCAAACCTTTTCGTGCGAACGAAACGTTTGAAACGTTTAACACCTCTATTCTTACCAATAAAGACTCTTACTACACTGTACCGTACATGTGAAATCTAAACCCAGTTCTTTAATATAACATTCACCTGCGTGTATAAAGAAGAAGACAAAGAAGAAACACCAAACCGCATTTTCAGATCGCTCTTTCTTCTGCCTATATGTCTGCGTGTAAACCGTACCTCTGGCGTGCTTGACCCGGAAGGCCAAGATGGACGTCCTGGAACGTGAGCAAAACGTCTGGGTGCCAGTCCGTTGCCTGCACGGCAAAAAAAGAAGAAACAGTGCCAGTGCGTCGTGTAAATAGGAAAGAAAGACAAACAGAAAGAACGAAAAGCGCCGAAAAAACAAGCGGTGACTCGCGTTAGCAACAGCATCTCTCTCAAGCGCTGTTGCGGTAAGTCTCGCAGGCAAGGAGGCCGCCCATTTCACATATGCTCTTTGGTGCGGTCGCCGGGACACCAGTGCGAGACTTACCTTTCAAAAGAGAGGACTCGTATTCGTGAACCACGGCCCAAACAGAATGGAAGCCGAGGTTGAAGCGGTTGTGTCGGAGGTGTCTGTGCGGTCAGTGCGGTCGGTGCGGTGGGTTAAGGTGGATGTCGGGAAGGGAAAGGGAGGCGCACAGTCCGGTGCATCACGTGTGTTTGTTCTGTTGATGTACAGAGGTGCATTTGTCTGAGGGTGGAAGTGAGAGTCGACATTTATCGTAGGAGAGACAGACAGTGAGTGGATGATCTGACGTGCGCATGAGCGCATGAGCGCATGAGCGCATGAGCGCATGAGCGCATGAGCGCAGGCGAGATCGAGATCGTGATTCAAGCATGATTTCTGCCTGGAAGGACCCTCGGTGCGTGTCTGCATTTGTCAGTAAGTGTGAAACGTGTTTTCAGCCGGACGTCTGGAGGCATGTTCATCGATTCCAGATTCCGGGTGTCTTCCGCTCCCGATCCCGGTTTCTCTCCCGATCCCGGTTTCTAGGGTCCGAAACCCCTCGACAAATGACGTCACTGCGCGCCATACGGGACAGATCCAACCAATTAAATGCATACGATCGATTTGCATTCCGCCTCCCCTGATTCCACGCATTTCGCTGGTCCCGCTGCTTCCTGTCGCGGACTTCGGAACGCCACATTTTGGGCTGTGTACTACGGGGGAGGGTAAAAACGTGAGGATGTGGGGACGTGGAGACGTGGGAACGTGGGGACGTGGGAACGTGGGGACGTGGGAACGTGGGGACGTGGGAACGTGGGGACGTGGGAACGTGGGGACGTGGGGACGTCATCGCTAACGCCTCGGGCTGCTGTGCGTGCCGGGAAGCCGAGATGGCAGGCAGTAGGGAGCGTAGCGGGTGAGGGAGGTCTCGTGAGCAAGAGGCAGTGTGCAGGATGATGGATTTGGGGGGGGGGGGGGGGCGGGAAGACCTTGGAAGGGCCAAAGGCTTAATTTTAGAGTATTTGGATTGCGTAATGTGTAAAAGGAATATGTTTAGCGAGAGGAGAGAGAAAAGTGTTTGTCGCTAAGACCCGTGCGCGTTTGAACTCGATCGAAACGGAGACGAACAAGTAGATGAACATAGACAAGACGAGGTTGGTGAGGAGAGGAGGAACAATACAAATACAATACAAATACAATAAAAAGGCAATAGAAAGAAAGCAGAAAGAGAACAGAAAGAAAGCAGAAAGAAGTAGGAAGAAAGTAGGAAGAAAGTAGGAAGAAAGTAGGAAGAAAGTAGGAAGAAAGTAAAAAAAAGAAAGTAACTAAGTAACTAGGTAAGCTACGAATTTTGCCCGGGCCAACTTGGTTGGGTGCCCAAGTGGCTCAACCAACTTGGGCACGCAACCAAGTTGGGCACCGGGCGGGAATCGAACCCAGGGCCTCGCAGGCGCAGAGTGTCAACTGCACCACCAGCAACCGGTTGTCCACTCTGCCACGAACTCCTCTCACCCAAACAGCGGACTCTGCGGCGACACAGTGTGGATACCAACGGTATTTAAAGGTATGCATTTGTCCTCGCAATCAACATTGCTTCTATAATTTGAAGGTTGTCCGCGGCTTGCATGTTACAGTGAATTGAACAAGTAAAAAACTCGCTTCTGCGTGTGAGCGATCATCGCTCACCGCACCATTGTGCACTTCGGTTAAACATTACTTTTTTAAAAGTAGGTACCTTCACCTCCACACGCGCACAGTACAGTACATGGCTGTGATTGCCATGTACTGTACCAAGGGTACTGTGTCAGGTGTTCGAGATCCGGATGTGAAACGTGTCCACGTCGAGAACACGCCCCCTGGGTACGTGCACTTACGACATATTTTTGCCGACATTTTGGCCCTCTCCCATGAATTCCCATTCTCTGTAATCTCCCACCATCCCTACTGTCCCTGGCATCTCCAATCTTTCCACGCTCTCCGCGCTCTCGCTCTCCGCGCTCTCCGCGCTCTCCGCGCTCTCCGCCGCTGCTGGGAGAGGAGCCTCGGTGCGCCGGTGCGTGTCTGCATTTTTTAAGTGTGAAAGGTGTTTCGGCCGGGAGTCTGGAGGTGGAGGTATGTTTATCGATTCTACATTCCGGGTGTGTTGCGCTCCCGATCCGGTTTCCAGCACGAGTTGGGCGGGTTGGGCGGGATGTGGGCGGTGCGGAACGTTAACTGGAGAAATTGGGGGTTAGGTTGTAGGGTATTGGAATCAATTTAATTGTGAGCGGTGACCATGATGTGGGGCTTGTGAGAAAGGTCATATGCGAAGCATGTTCTTCCGACGGAGTGAATTGAGGGACAAACTGGGGATGCTGGGCGCTGGAAATCATTGCATACTCGTCGACTGAGGAGATGGGAGGGAATGGGGACTGTATTGAAGCACTCGAGGATGTTTGCTCGCCACTTGCGGTTGGAAGGGGAAGGGGCGCGTGGACATTGGGGACATTGGGGGGTGTTCAATGAAATCGATGACAGCGTCACAGAGAGGTGGGAATGGGAGATCGGAAGGGGACTCTGCTGCGGCAACGGAGGTCGTATTAGGGAGAGAGCATGCGGAAGAGGGAGAACAGAGGGCCGCAGACGACGATGGTGTGAGAGATCGGAAGAGGAAGTCGGAAGGGGACTGTGCTGCGGCGACAGAGGGTGTATTAGGTAGAGAGCGGGGGTATTCAACGAAAGCGATGGCAGCGTAACTGAGAGGTGGGAAGGGGACTGTGCTGCGGCGACGGAGGGCGTATTAGGGAGAGAGCATGCGGAAGAGGGAGAACAGAGGGCCGTAGACGACGATGGTGTGAGTGCCGGACAATTGGCATGAGACGACGGCAGTAGGTAGGGGGTCAAGGAGGCAAAAGGGGTTGGTGGAGAACGGGCGCGGCACAAGGGGACGGCGCCGTCGAGAGCCAAAACGGGGGCGGGGTTAATGCGAGGTACGGGAGGCGTGTGACTGGCAAGAAACAAGTATCAAAACCGCAGATACCATTCGCCCGTCCGTACCACCCCAAAGGTTAAGTATGCCGCGCCGACAGCCGCCACTCTTCACGCAATCAGCACAACAGCCAGTTGTTATCGTGTGTCATTCTCGGTAACCTTTTGCTTCCGCCTCTGTGTTTCGCAATTTTCCGCGCTTGCAGACTCTACCCTTCTTCCTTTGCTGGCAAACCTTTTCGTGCGAACGAAACGTTTGAAACGTTTAACACCTCTATTCTTACCAATAAAGACTCTTACTACACTGTACCGTACATGTGAAATCTAAACCCAGTTCTTTAATATAACATTCACCTGCGTGTATAAAGAAGAAGACAAAGAAGAAACACCAAACCGCATTTTCAGATCGCTCTTTCTTCTGCCTATATGTCTGCGTGTAAACCGTACCTCTGGCGTGCTTGACCCGGAAGGCCAAGATGGACGTCCTGGAACGTGAGCAAAACGTCTGGGTGCCAGTCCGTTGCCTGCACGGCAAAAAAAAGAAGAAACAGTGCCAGTGCGTCGTGTAAATAGGAAAGAAATACAAACAGAAAGAACGAAAAGCGCCGAAAAAACAAGCGGTGACTCGCGTTAGCAACAGCATCTCTCTCAAGCGCTGTTGCGGTAAGTCTCGCAGGCAAGGAGGCCGCCCATTTCACATATGCTCTTTGGTGCGGTCGCCGGGACACCAGTGCGAGACTTACCTTTCAAAAGAGAGGACTCGTATTCGTGAACCACGGCCCAAACAGAATGGAAGCCGAGGTTGAAGCGGTTGTGTCGGAGGTGTCTGTGCGGTCAGTGCGGTCGGTGCGGTGGGTTAAGGTGGATGTCGGGAAGGGAAAGGGAGGCGCACAGTCCGGTGCATCACGTGTGTTTGTTCTGTTGATGTACAGAGGTGCATTTGTCTGAGGGTGGAAGTGAGAGTCGACATTTATCGTAGGAGAGACAGACAGTGAGTGGATGATCTGACGTGCGCATGAGCGCATGAGCGCATGAGCGCATGAGCGCATGAGCGCATGAGCGCATGAGCGCAGGCGAGATCGTGATTCAAGCATGATTTCTGCCTGGAAGGACCCTCGGTGCATTTGTCAGTAAGTGTGAAACGTGTTTTCAGCCGGACGTCTGGAGGCATGTTCATCGATTCCAGATTCCGGGTGTCTTCCGCTCCCGATCCCGGTTTCTAGGGTCCGAAACCCCTCGACAAATGACGTCACTGCGCGCCATACGGGACAGATGCAACCAATTAAATGCATACGATCGATTTGCATTCCGCCTCCCCTGATTCCACGCATTTCGCTGGTCCCGCCGCATCCTGTACAACGGGGGAGGGTAAAAACGTGGAGAGGTCCGCAACAAGAGGCCTGAGGCGAGTGATGGGCCCTCTCTACATTCAATGTAGAGAGGGGCCGTCACTCGGCTTGGCGCTTGGCGTCACAATGTAGTACATTGTGACGCCAAGCGGGGCAACCTGTCTCCACAGGGCGTCCTTGTTATTGGCCTCCGGCATCTGTCTGCCCGCAATCATAACTTGGCAGGCGATGCAGGTTCAACAAGGCAAGCCCAGCGGCAGTAAGGCCTCCTGCTGTTGTCGGAGCAGAGCATTGTACACTGAATGACATGTTCGGTCAGTGATCCCTGCCCTTCATGACAGTAAATGTTTACTGGATGAGAAAAGCTGGCGAAACTGGAAGAATTCTATCTTATTTTTTTCTATTTTTGCGACAACCTCCGCTCATCGAATCATACTACACGCCCATCCACTCACAGATCTCCCGCTCTTCGCATTTCTTCAACCTCCGCTCCAACCCGCCCTCGCAATTCTCCTACCTCCGCTCCAACCCGTCCTCGCACCCCCTCTCCCTTCCCCTCCCCCCTGCCCCCCGCCCCCGCTCAGTTACGGTTTTGAGTCTGAACGGAACTGACCGACGGCCGGTTTATCTGGAGT